CTTATATGTACATTCATATGTTTTATTTGACATTTTGTACTGACTTGTAATGATGCTTTTAAACCTTGTGAATAAGGGCCTGGCTGTGCTTCTCTTGTTGTTTCCTCGTGTGACTCGTTCAGAGAGCAGACTGCCTCCGTGTGGACATCGGACAACACGTAACATTGCACTTAACATCTTTTGCACTAATTGGTTCATGTCGTGTTGACTAATATTTTATACACCAGGTAAAAGTGTTTTTTACCTGAAAACCCAAAGAAGTCGACTGAAGCTGTGAAAAGAAAAAATTTATTGTGACTAGATGTTTTAGTCAGACTCTTTTTAGAGAATCACCAGCAGCAGGTGTTCAATTCTGAGTTGATGTGAAAACTTGATGTTATTATCGTCGTTCAGTAGAAACATATTTTTGTGACGAGCTCAGTTTCAGGTGATTATGTATCACCTGGGCCATTTGGGGCATTGAGTGCCCCCTAGTGTCTGCTTTGATAAAGGCGGAGCTATTTAAATCTTGCTGATGTAAAGGATGTGGAGCGACGTGTCACTTTGACTCTTTAAACTATGCAACTTATTTTCTAGTAAGAAGTGAAACCTGTTGAACAGGTTGGACATTATGCAGTGACGTGACTTTCAGGATCAAATTTATTATCAATCACAATATTACATGTGTCCAGTGTCCACAGGAGCGTCTGATGGAGCTGATCTTCAACCAGGAGGTGAATGATTTAAAGGAACATTACGGAGAGTTACTGCAGCATGGCACTGTCTGTCTATGTGGTTTTTTGTCAGAAGGTGGCGCTGTGTGACTGTGTGAACGGCTTCTCTCTCTCTGTGTGGTGAAACAGTCGGAGTAACCATGAGGCCATTTTCTTTTTGTATATTTTGTCTTCAGTTTGAGCTGTTGAAACACTTTAATCTGTTGTGACGGTTTAATGTGTCGTTAATCTATATTTTCTGTTTCCTGCAGTCTAACGCCCTCTGCTGCCTTATTTTGTTCAATCTCCACTTTTCATATTCCAGCAGTAACGACTATAATCGCTTTAGCTTTATCTCGGTACTAACTTACTGCTCACGGCTGTTTCCTGTCTGTTTTAGTTGCATATTAAAATGTACAGTTCTGTTATTTAAAGAATGTTTTGTCCACTTGTGTTACTACTTTATTTTCTTTTATAATGCTAGTTTTTCTCTTCAAATCAAACATGTTTCTCAGTTTCTATCGTATGTTTTTGTGATTTTCTTTCTGATGGAATAGAATAAAACTCCTTACTGAAGGTTGTGTTGTCAGAGAATGCAGTGATACTTTGTGCCAGCAGATGGAAGCAGTGTAGTTTATTTTGTATTTTTCCAGCTGTTTTGTTTTGAGAGATTTAAATCACATCTTCTCCAATGAGCTGTTTATCTTCCATCTTATCTGCTTAAAGCCTCTTTACTTTTAAAATGTGGTTTCATGGTAAAAGTCGTTTATCAGGAAAGTATCTTTATTTTATTTAGGAAAATCTCTTCGGCTTCTCTTCACATTTTCTTAATTAATGACTTTGTTCTTGTTCTTTGTTATTGTACTATCATTTTCATCAATAGCAATAAAACA